ACATGCCATGAAAAACTGCATAAAATACCTCATGGATCATTTAATTTACAGAATATATTGCTCTAGGGAATGAAATTTGTTTACATCATAAATAAACCGTCACTAAATAAATTGTGGTGGCTCTTCTGTTGGAAACATTCAGACTCCTGTATTTAGTGTTTCTCCTTACTGGTAAAGCAAGTAAACTTAAAACTGTAGCTCCAGGAGATTTAAATCCAAACATAACATGAAGCTTGTTTCCTCTTTACTACTTCATCTTTCAAATTTAGCTCAAATGGTATTAATATCTCCTCAATTCAGTCTTCCTGAGAGTTATCAATGTTACTCCTGTTTCCAGATAACCTTAAAGAAGAGCACTATAATAATAGCACTCTGCACATTCCTCTTATTCCCTCAGAGACTTATGGCTACTTGTTAGGGTAACTTCATACCAGGAAACAGAAAACATGCTGGCTTCTTGGAATTTATTAAACACTGGACCTGAATTAAAACCAATTCCTGGGTCATAGAATGCCACCGTGGTTCATCAGACAGAGTGGGTCTTATGGAATGTGGCAGATATTGTAGGTCGGCTCAGTCGTATCCATGCCCACTATCTTCTCTATTATCTTCCTGTACTATTGCGACTGGGAGATGAAATACTCAATTTCCTAGCCTCCTTTGAACCTAAGGGTGGCCAATGAGATGTAGGTAGAAGTACATAGGAAGAGTCTTCTTCCCTAAATAAAAAAGCAAAGCCTCACTAGAGAAACACCTGTGCTTGTTATCCCTTTTACTTTTTTTTCTGTCTGAAGCACAATTATGATATTTGGAGAGGAAGCTGCCATCTTATAATCAGCTCTGATATCATCGAGCCATTGGCACAATGCTTAGCAGTGACATACTTCTACACTTCTTGTAGTATGAGACAAATAACATACCAATTGGTTTAAGCTACTGTTAGTTGGGTTTACTATTCAGTCAAAAGCATTCCAACTGATACAACAGCTTTAGAAGCTATAATAAAACTTAGAGAACCTTTCTTATCCAATATCTCTTGTGAAAACATGAAACAAAGGGCAACACAATTCCTTGAGGGAATCATAGAGATGAGTGCCTCAAAGTCTTGATCAAGTGTTCATCAATGGATAAATGAATAAAGAAAACGCAGTATATAGACACTGTGAAATACTATTCAGTCTTAAAAAAGGAAATCCTGTCATTTGCAACAATAGGAATAAATCTGGAGGACATTATGTTAAGTGAAATAAGCCAGGCACAGAAAGAAAAATAATACATGATCTCACTTATATGTGGAATCTAAGAAAGTTGAACTCGAAGAAGTAGAAAATAGGATGGTGGTTTGCAGGAGCTGGCAGGCTTAGGGTGGGGAAATGGAAAAGAGGTTGGTCAAAGGGTCCAAAGTTTCTTTTAGAAAGGAAGAATTATGGCCGGGCAAGGTGGATCATGTCTGTAATCTCAGCACTTTTGGTAGCCTGAGGTGGGAGGATCCCTTGAGTTCAAGTCCAACCTGAGCAACATAGCAAGATCCCATCTCTAAGACTATTTAAAAAAAAAAAAAAAGAAGGCCAGGCGTGGTAGCTCAAGCCTCTAATCTCAGCAATTTGGCAGGCTGAGGTGGGCGGATCACCTGAGGTCAGGAGTTCGAGATAGCCCGGCCAACATGGTGAAATCCCATCTCTACTAAAAATACAAAAACTTAGCCAGGTGTGGTGGCACGTGCCTGTAGTCCCAGCTACTTGGGCTGAGGCAAGAGAATCACTTGAACCCAGAGGCAGAGGTTGCAGTGAGCCGAGATCGTGCCACTGCACTCCAGCCTGGATGACAGAGTGAGACTCCGTCTCAAAAACTAATTAAAAAATAAAATAAATAAATAAAAGAGGAGTAAGTTCTGAAAACCTACTGTATAACAAGATGACTATACTTTATAATAATGTGTATTTGAAAATTGCTATGAGAGTGGAATTTAATGTGATCACCACAAAAAAAAAAGTTAAGTCTGTAAGGTGATGGTTATGTTAATTAACTTAATGATCCACAATGTATAAAAACATTAAGTTGTACCTCATAAATATACACAATAAAATAATTCCTTTTTGCTCATGCCAGGGTCTTCCTTCTGTTGGGAATGTTAACTTTACATAGCATTTGAGGTTTACAAATGCTTTTTTTTTTTCTTGAGACGGAGTCTTGTTCTTGTCACCCAGGCTGCAGTGCAATGGCACGGTCTCGGCTCACTGCAACCTCCGCCTCCTGGGTTCAGGCGATTCTCTTGCCTCAGTCTCCGCAGTAGCTAGGATTACAGGTGTCCACCACCATACCTGGCTAATTTTTGTATTTTCAGTAGAGATGGGGTTTCACCATGTTGCCCAGGTTGGTCTCGAACTCCTGACCTCAGGTGATCTGCCCACCTAGGCCTCCCAAAGTGTTGGGATTACAGGCGTGAGCCACCACACTCGGCCCTACAAATGCTTTCTTATACATAATCCCTTTTAAATTTTGGACTTTGCAATACCCCCGGATGTATGTAAGGTTTAGCAGGTAATTATAAAACTGAGTTCCCAAATTCATGCTTTCTGAATCAAAGTCTTATGCTCTTTATCTGAATAATACTTGCCTCCCTCGGTCATCTCCGTTTGAGTCACATCACTCTCCCTTAGCACTTTTGTGATGTTCACTACTCTCTTCTTTGCTACATATTTTTTTCCCTCCAAATTACCTTTCAGATTCTCTTCAGATTATCTTCACTTATTGTAATTTAAATTTTACTATAAGCAATATGTCTTGTTCATTTCTGAAAAACTAGAAATTACACTGAAAAAGAATTACACTGAAAAAAAAAGAGTACACTGAAAAAAAATTAAAATAACTTCACTGCCCACAGATTACCACCATTAAGATGTCGGTGTATATATACTACTTCCGTTTTCTATGTGCACATATATTGATGGAGATACTGTACTTATTTTGTAGTCACACTTTTCCTTTAACATACTGTGAACATTGTCCTGTGATTAGTATTTGGCATCATTTTTAATGTATTCCATTGGGTAAATACATCATTTAACATTTTATTTTTTTGTTGCATTGCTGGGTGACGTTAGACTTTTATAATTATCATTGCTAGTAAATAACATTCCTTTATTCCAATTAAATGCATTTGTTTATTCAGGCCTTCAGGTTTTCTTTAGTTATTTCAATCAGTGATCAGTCTCTCATTCTTTGTTGACTAAACGGTTCTTGATAAGAGTGCTAGACTTCTGAGTGCTCACTATCAAGAAGTTACTAAAATACAGAAACTCTTTAGGCTTGAGACTCTTGTTACATTAATGGCTATTTTCTTTGTAATAAAAGGTAGCTCACATATTATGTAAAATAAAGCTGCCACATTATTAGTAATGATTATAGTTACTGTACTATTTTTCTCCCTAGACTGATCAGAATATTGTATTTTCAATGCAAAATTCAAACTAAGGAATAATTAGGCTTATACATGAAGTAATGGTCTTCTTTTTCCTTTAAAATCTAAAATCTACCTTCAATATATCTAACAATATATTGATGCAAACTTAGCTAGCACAAGTGCAATGATACAAAGGCAGGAGTCATAATTAATAAAACTTAAAATCTGTAACTATTGTATCAATGATGCATATCAAGTAGGGTTGAAGCAAAATGTAATGATGATTTCAGAGTTTACAACTGAGATCAAACGAGTCTAACAGAGGCCTATTTTTCTATGGCCTGAGCTAAGAGTATTTATTTTTACACTTTTTAAGTGTAAAAAATAGACCGGGTGGCCAGGCTCGGTGGCTCACGCTTGTAATCCCAGCACTTTGGGAGGCAGAGGCTGGCGGATCACGAGGTCAGGAGATCGAGACCATTCTGGCTAACACGGTGATACCCCGTCTCCACTGAAAATACAAAAAGTTACCTGGGCGAGGTGGCGGGCGCCTATCGTCCCAGCTACTTGGGAGGCTGAGGCAGGAGAATGGCGTGAACCCGGGAGGCGGAGCTTGCAGTGAGGCGAGATTGGGTCACTGCACTCCAGCCTGGGCCAGAGCGAGACTCCGTTTCAAAAAAAAAAAAAGACCAGGCACGGTGGCTCACGCCTGTAATCCCAGCACTTTTGGAGGCTGAGGTGGGCAGATCACCTGAGGTCAGGAATTGGAGACCAGCCCGGATAACATGGCGAAACCCGTCTCTACTAAAAGTACAAAAATTAGCTGGGCGTGGTGACGGGCGCCTGTAATCCCAGCTACTCAGGAGGATGAGGCAGGAGAATTTCCTGAACCTGGGAGGTGGAGGTTGACGTGAGCCGAGATCACGCCATTGCACTCCAGCCTGGGTGACAAGAGCAAGACTCTGCCTCAGAATAAATACATAAATAAATAAAATAAGGACTTACAAATCCAAAAATATTTACTCTATGGCCCTATACATAAAGTACACCAAACTAGAGGACTACAATAAAATACACTTAGAAGAAAATATAAGGTATTTTAAAAGTATATAATTATATAAAAGTTTATATAAATAGAAAAAGCAAATTATCTACTTTTCTTCTAGTGTAGCTTAAAATAGAAGCAACCCTCTCACCTTTTTTTTCCTCAAAAGCTAAGGATACATTTTTTTAAATCATAATTTTAAAAACAGCCAGATACATTAGAAAACTGGTCAGTGACTCAGAAGTAAAAAAGAATGAACAGAATCATAGAATTTTAGAACAGGATAGGACCTTTAAAATCACCTAGTCTAGTTCTTACATTTTAGAAATGAGGAAACCGAGGCCCAGACCTGGCAAGTGACTTTGTCCAAGGTCACACAGCTAATTTCCTACAAAGTTAGAATGTAACCCAAGTCTATTTGTAGGTCAATAGTGATAGGTCAATATCATAAGTAGATCAAGTGAAAGTGATAGGTCAATACTACTATATATATATTTTTTTTCCATTTTAACATGTATGGAAGTTGGAAAAATAGGACACTTCTCACACATCTACAGAAATAAATCCTTTTATTTGATAACATTCCTTTTCTTTTTAAAGATGCATACAGTACTTGTAAGCCCATGAATTCTGAAAAAAGCTATAGAAGACCTGGCACTATTTTTGAGAATTACACAACTGGGCAGCAAAACAACACCTTTATGAAGGTCAAAACATAAAGAAATAAAATTTAGTGTTTGCACACAAAAATAGGGGGGTTACATTCAACACGTTTTTTTAAACGTGCATTTAAAATGTTTAATGTTTTCTAAAACTTTGGTTGTCATGCTTTATTATAACTTGTTAAATTTCACAATTATGTAAGATAATTAAACCCAAAAGGGTAAGCTAATATATGACATTAACACAGCAGCAAAAGCAAGCTAATACTGCACAATCATATTAGTGGACTGATTCAGAAATACATGTTTTTCACAAATAATATACAAACTTAGTTTCTGATAACATAGTTCAATGACTTCCACTTTATAAAATAAGGCTGAGAAATGAGACGTACCAGAACATGATTACATAACAAAAAGTATATTTTTAATTACAATTCTAATTGTACATACAGGGCAACAAATTGTAGCTTCTATAGAATAGTGCAAATGAGCAGGACTTTTTTCAAAAATATTAAAATTGAATTCATCCCATGTGACTCAGATTTCGTGAATTATTCATGAATGATATATTTTAGGTTTTTATGTGATGGATATAAGTGGTAAGGTTGATATAGGACAGATGTGTACTCATAGGCTGCAAATAAAAATAGCCATTGACTTAATTTGCTGGATGTGAAGTGCAGGCACTGATAACATAACTTTTAGAAAGTTCCACTTGTCATCATGTAAACACTTTTGTTCATCATACAATATTTTATCAAAGATTCATAATTCATTTAAAATCATCATATCAAGTAATTCCTCCAAACTCTTTTTGATATGTGGTGGTTGAGATGCAGCCTGATTTAACAGATTCTGACCCATCTGTGCAAAGAGTGCTTTTGATAATTTAGCTGTGGCTGTTCGTATATTTCCTCCAGCTCCAGGCAGAGAGCCACTATTTGTCATATTTCCTAAGAGATGCCATAAAACAACCAACACTTTCTGTTCTGTGGCATGCGGCTTCCTTTGATAAAGTTCCGTAACAATATCTGAAACATAAAAATATAAAAAACAGTGAGGGTTTTTTCTTAATAAATAAGCCCAAGCTCTGCTAAATAAAAAGCAACTAAAATATACTACGCTTCTTCCTTATGTCATTTGTCCTAAAAAGTCAGGCTTCTTTTCTTTTTTTTTTTTTGAGATGGAGTCTCACTTTGTCGCCCAGGCTGGAGTGCAGTGGCGCAATCTTGGCTCACTGCAAGCTCCACTTCCCAGGTTCACACCATTCTCCTGCCTCAGCCTCCCAAGTAGCTGGGACAACAGGCGCCCGCCACCACGCCCGGCTAATTTTTTTTGTATATTTAGTAGAGACGGGGTTTCACTGTGTTAACCAGGATGGTCTTGATCTCCTGACCTCATGATCCACCCGCCTCGGCCTCTCAAAGTGCTGGGATTACAGGCGTGAGCTACCGCGCCCGGCCAAAAGTTAGGCTTCTTAAAAGAAGCAATGTAAGAAACCTTTCTCTCAAAGATTGGGATCTTCAAGTATGGTATTAGAATCCCATATAGAACAATTAGTTCATGCAAAAGTGGTAAGGAGAGAAAATGAACCCAAATTCATCTTGATGTTTTCCAAATATAGTGAAACAGAAATGTACACAGTTTTAACCCATGGACCTTTTATCAAACATGATTTTGAAATAGCAGTTTTCTATAAGAACCAAATTTGATTTTAATGTATTTTTATTTTTCCCATATTATTTCTACTAATGTAACCAAGTACCCTATTTTTAAGGGTTTTTTTCTCCTCCTTTTGTGGCCCTTTGTATTAACGTTTTAGTAATGAAATAATAAATTTTGCTTTCCTTCTTTCTACTAGATACTCCTTTGTATTGCTAGCCTATCTAAGTATGTTTGCTTAGAAGTTCCAGAGACTGGGCTGGGTGCAGTGGCTCACGCCTGAAATTCTAGCACTTTGGGAGGGCGAGGTGGGTGGATCACTTGAGGTCAGAAGTTCAAGACCAGCCTGGCCAACATGGTGAAGCCCCATCTCTACTAAAAATAATAATAATAATAAAAACTAGCCAGGTGTGGTGGCAGGCACCTGTAGCCCCAGCTACTCAGGAGGCTGAGGCAGGAGAATCACTTGAACCCAGGAGGCAGAGGTTGCAGTTAGCCGATATTGCGCTACTGCACTCCAGCCTAGGCAACAAAGCGAGACTCCATCACAAAAATTTAAAAAAAAAAAAAAAAAAAAAAAGTTCCAGAGACTCCATCTTGAAACAATTCAGGTACCTATGGAATTCTCCCTAACCAGGACATTACTTCAAGGCTGTGGTGCCAATTTACAACCCAGTCCAGCCTGAGACAGCACTGGCCCATTCACCATATGAAGCAATAACTCAAGATTTAAGTCATAAGAACAAATCATGTAGAACTGTACTGCCTGGCCCACTGCATGCCCTCCATGCAACCCTTCTCCTTCTTAAACCCTAGCATTTTGCCTGAGAATTCTGAAGCAGTTTTGTTAAGGCAGAAGCCTGAACCACCTGCCAACTGCTAACTTTGGAAAATAAAGTCACTTTCCTTCCACTGTACCTCATCCTTGTTATTCAATTTTCCAAGTGGTGACTGGCTGAACCTGCATTTGGCTACACTAATAGGAAGACTGAACATTTACTGGAAAAAAAGGATAAAATTCTTTTGACAAAAATGTTTCGGGTAAAAGTCTTAAAAGGTTCTCTTGTGGATCATTACACAATTTATTTCTACTTTGTGGGTAGTTATATTAAGTTGGTAGCTATCCTAAAATTAAATTGAAATCGTTTATCAGTTTATCCTTAGTTAATAAAATATTTCTTTAGAAATTGTTACAAAGTATTTACCAGCAAGCTTTTCCGTCATATCCTGTTTTGCTTTTCCATTTAAAAACTGAGCTTTTGTGCAAAATGGCTGTAGAAGTAAGTAATTGTCTAAAAAAAAAAGAACACAAAGACATATGTTTAAAGAGTAATGAGCTCCTAGTTACTTTCCATTACATAGCATTGAAAAGAAAAATAATCATTTCTAGGATGCAAATGTGTAACACTTAAAAAATCTACATAATCACTATTTAAAATTTTCTATAAAACTTTAATAGGCCAGGCATGGTCACTAGCACCTGTAATTCCAGCTACTTGAGAGGCTGACGTAAGAGGATCACTTGAGCCCAAGAGTCCAAGGCTGCATTGAGCTATGATTGCACCACTGCACCCCAACCTGGGTGACAGTGACGCTCTGTCTCTCAAAACCAACAAACCAAACAAAATCTTAACAGAGTAATATTCTTAAAGCAAATAAGAACTAAAAATACCTCACACAGTTTTAAAGGAGCTATCATGTGGTATTAAAAAAAAAAAAAAAAGACAAAAACAAAAACAAAAAACTGCCTGAATCTCCTAGGCATCTTATTTCAAATAATAGCATAGTTTTATCAAAAAAACAGAAAAAGCACCTGGGTGTGGTGGCTCATGCCTGTAATCCCAGCACTTTGGGAGGCCAAGGTGGGAAGATCATGAGGTCAGGAGTTTGAGACCACCCTGGCCAACACGGTGAAACTCTGTCCCTATTAAAAATACAAAAATTAGCTGGGTGTGGTGGCGTGTGCCTGTAATCCCAGCTACTTGGGAAGCTGAGGCAGGAGAATCACTTGAACCAGGGAGTCAGAGGTTGCAGTGAGCTGAGATCATGCCATTGCACTCCAGCCTGGTGACAGAGTGAGACTGACATCATGCCACTGCACTCCAGCCTGGTGACAGAGTGAGACTCTCTTGTCCAACAACAACAACAAATAACAATAAAAAAAAAAAGAAAGAAAGGAAGCAGTTTTTATGATTACTGAATTTTTTTAAGCCTTTAAATTCCTGGGCAACATGGCGAAACTTTGTCTCTACAAAAAATACAAAAATTAGCCAGGTGAGGCCAGGCACAGTGGCTCAAGCCTGTAATCCCAGCACTTTGGGAGGCCGAGACGGGCGAATCACAAGGTCAGGAGATCGAGACCATCCTGGCTAACATGGTGAAACCCCGTCTCTACTAAAAAATACAAAAAAACTAGCTGGGCGAGGTGGTGGGCGCCTGTAGTCCCAGCTACTCGGGAGGCTGAGGCAGGAGAATGGTGTAAACCCGGGAAGCGGAGCTTGCAGTGAGTCGAGATCCGGCCACTGCACTCCAACCTGGGTGACAGAGTGAGACTCCGTCTCAAAAAAAAATAAAATAAAAAAAAAAAGTTTTAATTGTGAAATAATAATAGAAACACAGAAATTTACTAAGATTATATAGAGGTCCTGTGTACCTTCCACCTAAAGGTTTCATCTTAAATAACTACAATTGACCCTTGGACAACACAGGGGTTAGGGGAGCCAACCCCTGTACAGTTGAAAATCCGTGTTTAGCCGGGCGTGGTGCCTCAAGCCTGTAATCCCAGCACTTTGGGAGGCCGAGACGGGCCCTGGGCCAGTTGAAATCCGTGTTTAGCCGGGCGTGCTCTCAAGGCCTGTAATCCCAGCACTTTGGGAGGCCGAGACGGGCGGATCATGAGGTCAGGAGATCGAGACCATCTCCTGGCTAACACGTGTGAAACCCCGCCTCTACTAAAAATACAAAAACTAGCCGGGCGAAGGGTGGCTTCAAAAAGTCCCAGCTACCCGGAGGCTGAGGCAGGAGAATGGCGTAACCCAGATGGAGCTGCAGTGAGCCGAGATCTGGGTCACTGCACTCCAGTCCGGGCTACAGAGCAAGACTCCGTCTCCAAAAAAAAAAAAAAAAAAAAAAAAAGAAAATCCGTGTTTAATTTTCACACTCCCCCAAACTGACCGTCGCTAATAACTTACTGTTGATCAGAAACCTTACCAATAACATAAACTGTCAATTAACACATATTTTGGATGTTATTATGTATTATATACTGGAATCTTACAATAAAGTAAGCTAGAGAAAAGAAAATATTAGGAAAGAGAAGAAAAATACATTTACAGTATTGTATTTGTCAATCATGCAAATTTATGTCATTTGATTACAAGATTAGTCATCTATCTGAAGTGGTGGGCAACCACAGCTGCAGACCTCAAGCTACTCAGATATCAAGCAATTCAAATTTATCATGTCATGACTTTCCCCTGCTTATTGGGAGCACTTTCAGCATCACTAGTGGCACTTCATATAGGTCTGATGGTGTCACTCAAGGTTTACGGTATTACACTAAACCTGATGAAAAATACTTAAGAACCATTAATTTGCATATGTTGAACCATCCTTGCATCCCTGGGATAAATTCCACTTGGACATGACAAATAATCTTTCTTTTCTTTTTTTTTGAGATAGAGTCTCGCTCTGTTGCCCATGCCAGAGTACAGTGGCGTGATCTCAGCTCACTGCAAGCTCTGCCTCCCGGTTTCATGCCATTCTCCTGCCTCAGCCTCCCTAGTAGCTGGGACTACAGGCGCCCGCCACCATGCCCAGCTAATTTTTCGTATTTTTAGTAGAGGCAGGGTTTCACTGTGTTAGCCAGGATGGTCTCGATCTCCTGACCTCGTGATCCGCCCGCCTCAGCCTCCCAAAGTGCTGTGATTACAGGCGTGAGCCACCACACCCAGTCGAATAATCTTTTTATACAAATTTGTTTCATGTTCCTAATAGTTTGTTCTTTTTTATTAAGTAGTATTTCATGGTATATTTAGATTTTAAAGAAACTGCCAAACCTAGAGTGGCTGTACCATTTTATTTACATTTTCACCAGCAGTGTATGAGATGTAGTTTCTCTGTAATCTTGTCAGCATTTTGCATTGTCACTATTTTTTATTTTGGCTGTTCTAATACTTGTGTGGTGATCATGGCCTTAACTTGCATATGCATTTCCTGGATGGCTAGTGATGTTGAACATCTTTTCACATGCTTATTTGGTCAGTCATATATCCTCCCTTATTTGCCATCCATATACCTCATGTTTTAAATATTTCCTCAGGTCTTTTGTCTATTTTTTTTTAATTTGAGTTTTTTTGATGTTGAGCTTTGAGATTTCTTTATATATTCTAGATATTAGCTGTCAGATACATGGTTTGAAAATATTTTTCCCAGTCTGCAGCTTGTCTCTTTATTTTTTTTTATTTTATTTTTTTTCAGACGCAGTGTCACTGTTGCCCAGGCTGGAGTGCAGTGGCTGGATCTCAGCTCACTGCAAGCTCTGCCTCCCGGGTTTACGCCATTCTCCTGCCTCAGCCTCCCAAGTAGCTGGGACTACAGGCGCCCGCCACCTCGCCCGGCTAGTTTTTTGTATTTTTTAGTAGAGACGGGATTTCACCATGTTAGCCAGGATGGTCTCAATCTCCTGACCTCATGATCCACCCGTCTCGGCCTCCCAAAGTGCTGGGATTACAGGCTTGAGCCACCGCGCCCGGCCTCTTTATCTATTCTTTAAAAAAAAAATTTAATTTTTTGATACGGAGTCACACTCTGTTGTCCAGGCTGCAGTGCAGTGGTACAACCTTGGCTCACTGCAACCTCCACCTCCTGGGTTCAAGCAATTCTCCTGCCTCAGCTTCCAGAGTAGCTGAGATTACAGGCATGCGTCACCACACCCAGCTAATTTTTGTATTTTTAGTAGAGACAGAGTTTCACCATGTTGGCCAGGCTGGTCTTGAACTCACAACCTCAGGTGATCTGCCCACCTTGGCCTCCCAAAAGGCTGAGATTATAGGATCATACTCTTAGTGCCATATGTACAACTTTTCACCAAGTCCTAAGATTTTCTCATGTTATCTTGTAAAAGTTTTACATTTAAGTTGTACATTTAGTTATACAAAAGTTGTACATTTAAATCTGTGATCCATTTTGAGTTAGTTTATTTATTATTATTTTCTTATTTTTATATTTTTTCTTTATTTTATTTCTGGATCATCTCATGCCGAATTATTGAGTTAGTTTTGTTAGCAGACTGAGGTTGAGGCAGAAAAAGAAATAAAATCAAAGATAAGGGAAAGTCAATTTAATGGAACAGAATTTAATCACTAAAAATAATTTTAAAACCATTGAGAAAATAGAAAGTTTTATGATAATATTAAGTTTAAAAACCTGAATAACTAGGATTTCAGCATTACAATAAAAGTATGGATGGAATCAGAAAACATGAAAAGAAAGTCAATTTGAGTGCTGAAGTAAGATTTCTTACCTACATGCTGAGTCAGTGCCTGAACAACATTCGTAGCAGCAGCGTAGATGCCTGGATTCTTGGAATTCAGATTGTTATCCACTATTGCTGGAATTAGCATGTTGATTATAGGAGACAAGTGGTCTCTAAGTAGAGGAATCATTTTGTGCATTGTTTCCAGAGCCACCAGATTTACTTTACTATTAGAATCATGAAGTCGAGATTTAAAAGCATCAAAAATCTGAAAATAAATTGGTAAATCATTTAAAGTAAAATAATGTTTATAGCTATTGTATTTATAATTCTCTTGGCATGTCATAATATTTCTCCTACTTTACTCAGTTTAAATATATACGCAACATCCTATTTTGCTTGAACTTAGATAACAGGAACTTTATAAAAATTGGGGTACTAAATCTAAGTGTCAAATCTTGTAACGAAGGGAGAAGGCCTCAAAAATTGCCCCAAAAGAAATCCTAATAAAAGCTGAAAAATGTGGCTCAGTAGGCAGATGACTAATTGTAAATATGATAAACATCTTGTTTTCTGGAAGGTGCAGGTTAGCTTAGCTAACTCTAAGAACTTAAGAAAAGTTTTTATCTTTTTTCACACTAGAAGTAGACATGTAAGTTTTACTGTGGAGATCTAACCTAGTTTCAGTTTAGGTTTATTATGAAAATTTTAGATGCAATTTCAGAGTTAAATTTGTATTATTATCTCTTAACCTGATAACTTTAACAATAATTCCTTGCTCTTCAAAATCCTTAACTTTCATAAACTCAAGATATAATAAAGTGAATGCTAAACAATCCTTTAATCATGTCAGGTAAGTAAAGAGCTACTCTATGAGCTGAGACTATTCACTAATAATTTCCAATACTTATTTATTATTTTTCATGTTAAGAATAATCTTCCCAAGAGATTTATTTTTACTCAACAGATATCAGAAAATACAAGTTTCTGGCTCCCATGCCATGGTAATATGGTTCTTTTCTTCTGAAAGCTGAGACAATACCATGAGAAGTGAAGAGTAGTTATGGTATGTTTGCGAAGTATAATGCACATTACACAAACTTAAAATGAAATTTAATTAATAAATTACTACTAGAATTAACTGAACTAAATTCTGATGAAGCAAAAATAATCTATGCTCTGATACAATGAATATTAATTAATATTTCCCTTTCTTTTATTTATTGTCTTCCTAAAGATAAGTACATAAGTCACTATACAGAGATTTCTTTTTTTTTTTTTTTCTTTGAAACGGAGTCTCGCTCTGTCACCGAGGCTGGAGTGCAGTGGCCGGACCTCAGCTCACTGCAAGCTCCGCCTCCTGGGTTTACGCCATTCTCCTGCCTCAGCCTCCCGAGTAGCTGGGACTACAGGCGCCCGCCACCTCGCCCAGCTAGTTTTTTGTACTTTTTTAGTAGAGACGGGGTTTCACCGTGTTAGCCAGGATGGCCTCGATCTCCTGACCTCGTGATCCGCCCGTCTCGGCCTCCCAAAGTGCTGGGATTACAGGCTTGAGCCACCGCGCCCAGCCTATACAGAGATTTCTAACCCATATAATGGAAAGTTTTAATATCTGTTCTAAAGCAGTATCAAGTCTCTTATCTGTCTTTGCTTTTTAAAAAATATGTATTGATTAATTTAACATATATTTACTAAATGCCAGGTTCTGAGTGCTCTGAGAATACTGAAGTTTCAAGGCGCTTATCATCTTGTGGCAGGATTCCGACTAATAAATAGCTATCTTCTTACTTTGTTTCAATGATTTTGACTTGTTCTAGTATGCTTTTAACCTAGCAAAACCCAGGCAATCCATTCTTTTCACTAAGCTTATTTTAACACTTTAGAATAATATACATATAACATGTAAATATATAATTTATTAATTAAATTCCATTTAAATTTGTGTAATTTGTATATATACAGTGAGAGGGTATATAAAACACTAAGATTTAGAGCAATTTTTTAAACTGATAAACTTCATTTGACATAGATTTCAAATGAAAATAAATTTTTTTTTTTCTTTTTTGTAGAGACAGGGTCTTACTATGTTGCCCAGGCTGGACTTGAACTTTGAACTCCTAGACTCAAGAGATCCTTCTACCTTGGCTTCCCAAAGTGCTGGGATTACAGGCATGAGCCACCATACCCGACTTAAAATTAATTTTGAGAAGTCCTTACCTTCACAATGTTTCCAACAACAAGGTCTTGATTATTTTCAGTATCTGATAAAAGCTGCTTAATCCCATTAATACGATCACGAAAGTCTTTTGCATTTAATAAACCAGTTATGACTTTAAGGTACTCAGCACTTTCTAAGGAATTACGAGGGACTGATTTTCTGGTGACTTCACGAACTTCAGTTACCTCTCTAAAGTGAAAGAAAGGTGAATGTGATTTCATTTGTACTTTCCTATAAAAACTATTATACAAACATAATTTTAAAATCTCACTATGAATTCATTTTCCAAAATGCATAAAATGACCTAACCCATAGCCAAACTATCTGTGTTGGGAGTCCCCAGGATCTCCCCTGGATTTGGATATTTGCTAGGAAGACTCACAAGAGTTAGCCTATAGTTTTACTCATGGCTAAAATTTATTACAGCAGAAGGATGCCAAACAAAATCAGCAGAGGGAAAAGGTGCATAAGTCAAAGACCAGAGGAAACCAGATTTAAGCTTTTAAAGAGTCCTTTCCCAGTAGGGTCACACAGGACACAATTCCTTCAGCAATGAGTTATGACAACATATGTGAAATGTTGTCTACCAAGTAAGCTTATTAGAGGCCTCATGTCCAGAGTTTTCACTGGGAGCTGGTAACATAGGGACTGTCTGCCTAGGACATACCAAAATTCCAGACCCCAGAAGGAAACCAGGCCTCCAGCATAAACCATATTGTTTGCCGAAACAATTTAGGCACAGTAAACTATCTTATCAGTTAGGGCATGTTGGGAATCCTCTTGAAATCCTGGTTTCCCATGTCAGCAAAGAGCTAACCTTGCAAGCAGCCTTTTTTAGGGATAAAAGTCTCAGGACTGCAATGTTAACTTTTTTCTGAACAGGTTCCTTGCCCACTGAGATCTAGATAAATTACCTTGAACCTCTTCTCAAACCCATTCTCCATAGAAGATTAAGTGAACCACTCTTATGAGGAATAGTTGAAATCTTTCCAAAACCTAAGTTCCCAGATGTCAACCAATGGACAATCTCTCTAAGCAGACCTTTCTAAGAATAGCAGTCTCAGGCCCTGTTATGTTAACTCTTTCCTGCAAAGTATTCGTGTGAACATGCATGGGACAATGAGAAACTAGAGACCAGCAGGAATTATTATGGCAATGATAGTATTTGTAGCATATTTTTTGTGGCTATAAAGGGGTAACTCAATGTGGTAGATCCAGCTTGTCCATCCCATGGTCTGCAGGTCGCATGTGGCCCGGACAGCTTTGAATGCAGCCTAACACAAATTCATAAATTTTCTTAAAACATTATGAGATTTTTGTGTATATGTGAGTGTGTGTGTGTGTGTGTGTGTGTTTTAGCTCATCAGCTATCATTAGTGCTGGTGTATTTTATGTGTGGCCAAGACAATTCTTCTTCCAATGTGGCAAGGGATGCAAAAGATTGGACACCCCCGTTTAGATGATCATCCTTTTGAAACTAAAGGGTCATGCAAAGTGACAGGTAGGTCAGTTGGTCAATCTGTCTATCTATTTTAGATAGAGAGTCTCACTCTATCTTTCTATCTATTTTACTTTTTTAATTTTTTTTTTTTTTTTTTTGAGACTGAGTCTGGCTCTGTCCCCCAAGCTGGAATGCAGTGGCGCGATCTCGGCTCACTGCAAACTCCGCCTCCCGGGTTCCCGCCATTCTCCTGCCTCAGCCTCCCGAGTAGCTGGGACTACAGGCGCCCGCCACCGCGCCCGGCTAGTTTTTTTGTATTTTTTTTTAGTAGAGACGGGGTTTCACCGGGTTAGCCAGGATGGTCTCGATCTCCTGACCTCGTGATCCACCCGTCTCGGCCTCCCAAAGTGCTGGGATTACAGGCTTGAGCCACCGCGCCCGGCCTACTTTTTTAATTTTTAATTTATTTTTGAGACAGAGTCTCACTTTGTCACCCAGGCTGGAATGCAGTGGCATTATCTTGGCTCACTGCAAGTAAGCCTAATGTAAGTATATTGTAATGTTCTTACATTAGACTTAACATGGTCTAATACTATTTGAAAGTATACTGTGAGACAGTAAAGATGTACATTATAATATTATAAAGTCTAGATCAACCACTTACAAAAGGAACAAAAAGATACAGCTAATGAAGAAAATAAATGAAATACCAAAATGCACACACATACACTCACATCCCTACCTCTCAATCAATCTTATACCATGCACAAAAAGAAGAAAAAGAAACAGAAAATATAAGACAAATAGAAAAACACTATCAAAATGAGAGGCTTAAACCCAACCATGTGAATAACCGCTTTAAACCTAAATGGTCAAATACCCTGATTAAAAAGCAGAAATTGTTATATTGGTAATAAGACAAGACTCCAACCTGGGCAACAAATTGAGACCTCATCTGTACAAAAAATACAAAAAATTAGCTGGGTGGCAGGGTAGGGGTGCCATGGGCTTGTAGTCCCAGGTACTCGGGAGGCTAAGGTGGGAGGACACTTGAGCCCTGGGAGGTCGAGGCTGCAGTGAGCCATGATCACGTCATTGCACTCCAGCCTGGATGACAGAGCAAGACCCTGCCTCAAAAAAGACAAGACTGAGTCACATACTGCCTAGAAAAACGCTCTTTAAAAAAACATAAGCTGAGCATGGTGGCTACACCTATAATCCCAGCACTTTGGAAGACCGAGGCTGGAGGATTACTTGAGCCCAGGAGTTGACACCAGCCTGAGCAACACAGGAAGACCCCATCTCTTTTTATTAAAAATTAATAAAATATTTTTTTAAATTAAGAAGACCAGAAAATACAAGCAAAATCCACAATGCATTAAGGAAAAAATTATTTTCACACTTGTTAAAATGGTAAGAAAGACTTTATCCAAGAAGGACCATGACTACTACAATAAGGGAGAACAACTGTTCTCAACTCTGACTACAGTAAAGACAGAGGGATTTATAGCCCACAACCAGAGTTGGGGGTGGGGGTCAGTGGATAGAAAATTACTAAGAGGAGACATTAAAGAGAACCAAGTTTCTTGCAAAACTGGCCTAGTAAGATGCATGCTAAAGGAAGGCCAAAGACTCAGACATCGAAGGTCAGGGGGTGAGGAACTTGATCAGATATCAAGGGTGATAACGTATCAAAGGAAGGAGAGATGAGCTAGCAGGATACCTTGTTAAGACTGGGTTAGGCAGGCCAAGGACAGGGTCCAAGGTCAAGGCCAAATTGCAAACAGGACTCAGAGAAGCATGTCTATAGTTTGGTCAAAAAGAATCTCTGTCGGGCCGGGCGCCAGTGGCTCACACCTGTAATCCCAGCACTTTGGGAAGCTGAGGCGGGCGGATCATAAGGTCAAGAGATGGAGACCATCCTGGTCAACATCGTGAAACCCTGTCTCTACTAAAAATACAAAAATTAGCTAGGCGTGGTGGCACACGCCTGTAGTCCCAGCTACTCGGGAGGCTGAGGCAGAATTGCTTGAACCTGGGAGGCAGAGGTTGCAGGGAGATCGTGCCGCCATACTCCAGCCTGGATGACAGTGTGAGACTCTGTCTCAAAAAAAAAAAAAAAAAAAAAAAAATATATATATATATATATTATGTTTGTCAAATGAGATACTAGTTTATAGCCACTGAAATAATCACAAGTATTGGTAAGGATGTAAAAAAACTGGAACCCTTTTACACTACTGGTGAGATGTAAAATGGTGGCACTTTGGAAAAACTTTCTGCTGGTTCTTCAAACGATTAAACATAGAGTTATCATATGATCCAGCAATTCCACTCCTACACATCCAAGAGAGCTGAAAACATATGTCCACAACAAAACCAAACTGATGAATGGATAAACAATGTGTGCTATATCCATATATGGATGAATGGAATAGTATTCGCCCATAAAAAAGAATGAAGTATTGATAAATGCTATAACATGGAAGAGCCCTTGACATTTTGATTACAAAAAAAATGGATAAGCCTTAACATAAATCTAAGTATAAGAAGCCAGTCACAAAAGACCACATATCATATGATTCCCTTTATATGGAATGTCCAGAATAAGCAAATCCATAGAAACAGAAGAGAGACTGCCTAGGGCTGGGGAAGGCAAGATTGTTGAGAAATGGGGAATGACTGCTAATAAGTATGAGATTTCTTTTAAGGTGACAAAAATATTCTAAAATTGTGATGACAGCTACACAACTCATTGAATATACAGATGCTCTTTGATTTGCAATGGAGTTACATCCTGATAAACCCATTTTATGTTGAAAATATCTTAAGTCAAAAATGCATTCAATACATCTAACCTACCGAACATCATAGCTTAGTCTAGCCTACCTTAAACGTGTTCAGAACACTTACATTATCCTATACTGGGGCAAATAATCTAACACAAAGCCTATTTTATAATGAATAATTTATTGAATATTATACTGAAAGTGAAAAACAGAATGATTGTATGAATACTCAAAGTAGTTTCTACTGTACTACATGCATACTGCTTTTGCACCATTGTAAAGTTGAAAAATCATAAGTTGAACCATCCTAAGTTGGGTGCCATCTGTACTAAAAAACATTGAATTGCATGCCTTAGATAGAAGAATTATATAGTAGGCGAATTACATCTCCATAACACTGTAATTTAAAGAAAAACATACCATGCAAATCTTCTATCAAAAGAAAACTAATATGGTCTACTAACATAGACTTCAAGACAAAGAATATTACCAGAGATAAAGGTACTTCATAATGACAAAAGGACCAATTTATCAGAAAGTCACAACTATCCTCAATGTATTTAAATGTAATCACAGTGGATCAAAATACATGAAGCAAAAAGTGATACAACAGAAAGTATAAATAAATCCACCAATACATTGGGGATGTCAATACTCCTATCTCAGCAATTGATAGAACAAGTAGAATAAAAAATCAGTAAGATTATAGAACACTTGAATAACAACTGACTTAACCTAACTGACATTGTATAGAATATTACATTCAACAAGAGCAGAATGTACATTCTTCCAAGTAGATATAAAATAGTCACTAATATAGAACACATGCTGGGCCGTAAAACAAGTCTCAAGAAGTTTAAAAGAACTAGAATCCTATGGAGCATGTTCAGTGACACAGCAGAACTAAATTTAAAATCATTAACAAAATATTTAGAAAATCTCCAAATATTTGAAAATTA